GCGCTGCCAAGGTGATGAGGGTATCGGTATAGGAGATGTTAAGTCGAGAAGGTTGCTGTTTGCAGACGACATTGTTTTATAAGCGTCTTCCGAAACTGATCTCCAGGTCTCCTTTGAAAGGTTCGCAGCCGAGTGTGACGTGACCGGCATGCGTGTGAACGCATCTAAAACGAAAAGCCTACTGCTTTTTCGATCTCCTGCCCGTTGCTCTCTTCAGAATAACCGAGAGGCAGTGGAGCAAGTGGAGAAGTTCAAGTACCTCGGAATTGTATTTACTGGTGATGGAAAGTTGGAGGAAGAGATCGACCGGCGACTTGTAATAGCCAGTGGCGTTCTGGGTGAACTAGCCCGACCAACTGTCACTAAAGCATAGCTCAGTCTGAAAACTAAGCTCTCGGTGTTCAAGTCGATCTGTATCCCCATATCACTTTATCTTATCTGCGGTCATGAGTCGTGGACCATCACTGAAAAACTTCGACCCCGGGTACAAGCTGCTGAAATGGGCTTTCTTAGACGAGTTCTGGCCTTACGCGCCTCGACATGGTGTTTAACTTCTCCTGATTGAGAAGTCATAGCTGCGATGGCTTGGGCATGTGTTGCGAATGCCTCCAGAAAGGAAGGCTAAGCAACTGTTCCTTGCAAATCCGACTGACAGAAGGCCTAGAGGACGGCCAAGACTAACGTGGTGCAAATATATGGAAGGAATCTGTTCCAGACTCTAGCTGTCTTCTGCCGAAGCACAGACTCTGGTACAGGATCGGGAACGTTGGAAGGACTCTCTGAAGCATCAGCATCAGCGATCCGAAAGAAGCGGCCATAGAAAATGAAGTAGAAGAAGAAATACATGTATCATCTCTTGTGCATAATTGTATAATTCCGATTGTACATTATGTGAGTGTACACTATATAACATTCTCGTCACCGTAACAGTGAACATGACGTCAATAATACAAAAGATACACAACAATAGATAGAGAACTTACAGCACGTTATTTTAAAGTTATGCATACTTCGAAATATATCTACTGCCTTAAATATAGCTATAGCTAACTTAGACATCTGGTCCATAGGATTGCTGGTTAGTTACATGATACTACATTCTGGGGTTAATTTATACAACATAAATATAGATTAGACAATGCACTTATTCTTCATATGTACAATGTTATAAACACACGTTTTTAAGCAAAATCTATAAAATGATATGTGAAAAATTTCATGCACAACGTGCAATGAAGGCTAGGGGTCAGGTCATATGTCAACAAATGAAGCTATATTTTCCACGGACGAAATACACACAACCTCAATATATACGGCCTGAGTATCAGTAGCTGTTGAGCTGACACGTAGCTCCATATTAAGAAATACATACTCCGGATACATAGATATCTACTATCTCATACATGATCATACACATACGCTGTATACCTATTCAAAATAATCGAGTTACATATACAAAGCTACATATCTGTAGTCTCCATCTGTATAACCTGGACTTACGGATAATAAAGATCCTTTCTGGTTTTAATGTTTCATAAGAGATTTCTTCTCGTAGAGATTTTACTGCAGAACTCCTAGCAATACTCTGTTCGTTGTTAGGGTACAAAAATAAAAACACTTTTGGAACAAGTCAAATCCTCGAGGTTAAGTTCGAGGCCAGACAGAGCCGAAGAGTGATTAATGTTAACAGCTTATTACTAACGGCTGATGTGTGAATTGGTGCCTTCATGCTGTTGTCCGTCTTCAAATATT